TCCCTTCCAACACAACCATCCTATACATCTACATTATCTTTAAGCTCTCTCCCAACCCACCATTCTGTACGTCTACATTATCTTTAAGCTCTCTCCCAACCCAACCATCCTATACTTCTACATTATCTTTAAGGACCCTCCCAACCCAACCATCCTATACATCTACATTATCTTTAAGCTCTCTCCCAACCCAACCATCCTATACTTCTACATTATCTCTGAGGTCCCTCCCCACCCAACCATCCTATATTTCTACATCATCTTTAATCTCCCTCCCAACCCAACTATCCTATGGTTCTGTCCCTTCTAACCTAACCCTTCCCTAAGGTCCCTTCTAACCCAACCCTTCCAACCCAAGCCATTCTAGAGTTCTCATTTCAATCTGTGCTCCAGCTTTTTGCCCCCACATGAGTCAGGCCTCATGTTTGAGTGCTGGGAGCGAGAGAAAAAACCCAGGAGGTCTTCAGGGGGTATGGAACAGGTCGGAGCTGATGCTTTGTGTCCTTCCTGCAGGCAGTTCTACCAAGCCTGCAAGACAGGCATCATGGACCGGGCGCTCTCCATTTACTTCCTGCTGGGCTGGCTTGGTGGAGACCTCCTGAACCTCATCGGCTCCTTCCTGGCAAACCAGCTGCCCCTGCAGGTACCCCCAGCTCTGCCCTGCATCGCTCCCCTGTCCCCAAGGCTGGGATCTGGGTGTGCTCAGAGCTCCCATCCTTGTTCTGCAGGTGTACACTGCTGTGTACTACGTGCTGGCAGACTTGGTGATGCTTTCCCTGTACGCTTACTACAAAGCCAAGAACTGGAGTGCAGGAGGTGAGCTGTGGCTAATGCCCATCTGTGGGGACAGAAGTGGGGTAAGGGGACCCTGGGGACGCCCCCAAGCTGTGGGATACCCCATCCCTGGTGGTGTTCAAGGCCAGGTTGGGGGTTGGAACTGGGTGATCTTTGAGATCTCCTCCAACCTAAGCCATTCTGTGACAAAAACAGAGCCCCTCTTACCCCTGTCCCTTAGCTGGGTGGTCTGCAGGGCTGGGGCAGCGTGGCAGATCGGTTAGTGAAAAGCTTGGAGTTCTTTTAACCCTAAACCACAGAAACTGCTGAGATAGGAGTGGTTTCCTCCCCACTGAGCTACAAATGGCTCTTATCACTGAGATAAAAACCCACATGCCCCACTGCTGGATCCCAACGCCGCAGATGGAGATAAGAGGGCTCAGACTTGCTGCAAGCACCAGACCCAGCCCTGCAGAAGGAGCAGCCCACCTCAAGCATCCCCCACTTGTCTCCCCACAGCCACAACTTCCATCAACGCCGCCTGCCTCTTCTCCCTGCTGGGAACAGCCACGACCCTCACGATGCTGAGCCACGACACAGGCCCAGCCCTCAATCCTGCAGCCTTCAGAGGGAGATCTCTGCTCTCCTTGGGCCCGGAGGGGCCTGGCCCTGAGGTGGGACATGGGGGTGGCTGGGGGTGTCCCAGTTGTGGGTGGTCATGAGGCCTTGCTCAGGGTTCACCTTGTCCACAGCCCATCAGCAAGACTGAGATCATTGGCTTCACCATCGGCTCCGTCTCCTCTGTGCTGTACCTCTGCTCACGGCTCCCCCAGATCTACACCAACGTAAGTGAGGGCAGCAGACATGCAAAGTCTTGTGTCTGAACAGGGCAGTGAGTTTCTTCCTTCCTCTTTGCTTGGTGATTGCAGCTCCCTTATTTCTCACCGTGTCACAGCATGCTCTGAAGCCCGATTCGTTTTCCTTCCCCTCCAATTTAACAATGTTGTCAGCGTGGAGCTTTCATTTTTTTCCACATCTGCAAGCAAAAAGGGAACCAAAAGGCACTCGGCACTGCGTCGGTTCCCATTTTCTCTTTTCCCATGGCAGGATGATTAACACCAAATGCATAATTAGATTTCAGAGCTTATTTCCATGTAACACAGCCTCTCCTTCCAGTACCGGAGGAAATCCACGGCCGGTGTCTCCTTCCTGCTCTTTGCCCTGGTGATGCTGGGGAATTTGCTGTATGGCACCAGTGTGCTGCTGAAGAACCCAGAGCCAGGGCAGAGTGAAGGTGACTACATCCTGCATCACCTGCCGTGGCTCATTGGCAGCCTGGGTGTCCTCTCCCTGGATGTCATCGTATCCTTTCCTCTTCCATGCTTGCCATCAGGGTGATGATGGTTTGGGGCTGTGACTTCCTGCATCCCATGCTTGTAACTAATGCAGTGTTGCAAGAGCTGAATGCTTTGCTTATAGTTGCGTTCAGCTCATTGTTCTCATGGTGCAAACGGCCTCTGCGGGCTTGCTGTGCTGATCCTCACCTTGCAAAGATCCTTAAAGCCTCCTCAGATCTCGTTCCAGTTCCTCGCCTATCGCACAGGACAGCCCAGTGCTGGTGAGGAGCGAGAGGCACTGCTTGCTGAGCATGGTGACAGCTGACAGAGTGACCCCAGTGCTCCTGGTCCTGTCCTCTTCTCTGCGTGGTGCTGGGGAGAGGGGGATGCAGGCCAGAGATGGATTCGTGCTGCTGAGAAGTTCTGCCTGGCCTGGTGGCACGCACTGCTGCTGTGAGACCTCGAGCCCCTCTGATACCACTGGTGGATCAATGAGAAAGCAATCAGATACCTCAGGAGGTCGCCTTTTCCTGTGCTGAGCCCTGCAGAGGATGTGGGGTGGCCAACCCATCACAAGCACCGGCACTGTGTGGTTCTTGTGATGCTGCCTCTGGACTTTTTGGAAGACCCCTTGGAACAAGGAAAGGAAGGTGCAGGGCAGCCAAAGTGTTTCACGTTATTGGTATGGCTCAGACTTCCATAAAACATTGCCCCACATGCCTTTGTGTTCTCCTGGTTCATGTGTCAGTTCCTGCCTCTTAATTGCTCTCATTAGTCCTCATTTCCATGAAATGCTTGGACTCTTCATCTCGTCTCATCCCTGTTTTGTTCATATGGGATTTGGGGGAAGCTGGTCTTTGTCCTGATGTGAGACAGGAGCGTGCAGGGGGGAGGTTCAGCACTCTCAGACTCCAGGAGCAAGGAGGTCAAGTGCTGGGAACCAACAAGCACTGAATGCAGCCTTCTTGGCATTGCCAACACGGTGTTACAGCAGGGCTGAAAGGAAACCAGCACAGCTTGTCCCAAAAACGGGAACTTTCTCCCTCCTACGCTTTCCATTAGCTCGTCTTTTTCTTCCCCTTTTTTCACTCTCCAGCTTTCCTACCACCACGCTGCTCACCCTGCCCTGCCCTCCCAAGGAAGGCACAGAGCCTGGATGCTACGTGGGACTGCTTGACACCACTGCAACAGCAGTTAATTAAAACCTGTGGTTGGAGCTCACCCCTTTGTTTCCAGACTCCTCAACCTTCCTGATCAGAGTGGGTGAGTTTTTCTCCTCTGTTCCGCAGCAGTTTCCCCAGCAGGGCTCACTTTCCACTTGCCACCCTCCAGCTGCTCTCCTGGCAGGGCAATGGCCAAGCACGGGTTAGCAAAGGTTTTCTTAAAGCTGGAAGAACCTCTACCTAAGGAGATAAAAAAAAAAAAAAGTTATTCACACAGTGTAACCAGAGCACAAATCCTGGGGCATCCAGCTCTGCATCTGGCAGTGGGTGGGAGCTCAGAATGCAGAGCAGCCCAATGAGGGTCCTGCTGAGGTTCTCGTCCCTCTGAGGCTGTGATGCAGCCCTGTTCCCAAACCAATGTGCTGTTCCCCATTTTGCAAAGTTTGGGTGTCACATTGAAATGGAAAAGGCACAGGTATAAACCAACTTGTCCCAAAATCCAAACAAAACTCAGCAGCAGGCTTAGGGCAGCAGAAGCTGCAGGTACCCACGCTGTTAGGTGATGCTGCTGTGAGCCTAGAAAGGAATGAATGGCTGCAGCTGCATCTCAGCCCTCTCAAACTGTTCAATGAAAGGGACACATCCCTGCACAAGTGCCACAGGGAGCCTGTATGCCACAAGTACATTAAGCCCACGGGGGCTCAGTTTCATTTTTGGCTCGAGTGCAGGCAGATGGCTTTGGAGGAGTAAAAGCAGCCCCAAAAACAAGCACACACAGATGTGCACTGCAATTGGACTCAGGGGCAGAACGCTGCCTCTCCCCCACCCAGCTCACACACTGCTGTTAAGCTTCAGCAGTTCCCACGAGCTTATCTGCAACTTCACAAAACAGGAAACAAAGCTCACAAACCACACACAGCAAGCAGAGGAGCTGCTCTTAAAGAGCATCATCAGAAAGAATCACCCCACCTGAGCCCACCAAGCACCCATGGCCCCAAACACCCCTCCCTCCCTCCTCTGCCTGCACAAGTGCTGCAACAAACCAGTCCCCCAGCAAAGCACCCACATCCTGCTCTCAGTGCATCAGCTTGATGTTTGCTGGGTGCCAACACAGCAGGGCAACCCAGTGCTCCCTGTGCACGGCAGCAGGCCATCAATCCTGCTCAAAACAAACACAATTTCAGCTTTTTAAGTTTTTAAAGCCACGTGAGACAGCAGCTGTTTGCATTACAGCTGGGTTTGGTGCTCCCAAGCACGCATCTACCAATAAAGCATCCAGAAGCATTTAAAGAACCAACCCCAAATAAAACAGCAGGAAGGAAGGAAATAAGGACGACACCAACTTCACACACAGCTTCCTGGGATTTGTTTTTATTTTCATTTTTTTTTTTTAGTCTTTTTT